AGGCTGCCACAGGCCTTTCCCCATGCAACCAAGAGCTAAGGAAGACTCCCAACTTGCTTAGGTCTTGACCAGAGGTCTTATCCCAATGCAACAGTATTCCTTAAAGTCTTTATGTTCTTTAAGTTTAAAGCTTATTTGCCTTAAAAAAAATAAAGAAAGAAGGATGCTTCTTGGAAGAAGATTTCCTAAAAAGAAAATTTTCAAAAAATCAGCGGTAAACAGGTGAGAGTTTTTTTTGATTATGTCTAAATATTAAAAATTATTAATAAATATTTAAATAATAAAATATTGTGTTTTCTATTTCAAAGATTAAATAAAAACAATAAAAACTTGTTTGATTATAAAAAAAACAACAATAATAAAACTCTTTTTATTAATTCTCTTGATAATCCAAAAAGTAAATGTTTTAAAAAATTTTTGTTATTTTTTTATAATAAAGTTCATTTTTTTAAAAAAATAGTATTATTTAAAGTCTACTATTTTCTAGAATTTTTAATAATATTATTTTGATATTATTTTGATACTGAACTTATGAGTTTAATAGAATAGATTATAATTCATATATTAAACTTGCTACAATATAAATCAATATTATTTTGATATTTTGTTCAAAACTCTAGACTTCTTTTACTTGTTTCTTTTTTTAAAAAAAAATAAACTTCTTATATTTTATGTAAGTAAATAAAGAAAAACCTATATACAGAGTGAAAGGCAAGAATACTTAAAAAAAAAATGATAAAAAATACTCTTATTTTTTTCCAAAAATTCAAGATTTTAGAAAAGATAGTTATTTATTTTTAAATTTCTTTATTATCTCCCTCAAGTTTCTTCTTTATTCTTTCAAGCCTGTAACCTTTTTTTGAATGTGCTGGCTATTCCATTTTGATATTTCCAATTAAATATAAATATAAAATATGCTTGTAAAATTGCTATAAACGAAAGGCCTGTCTTCCGGGCAGATATATTAATCGCAATGCATCTTTATTGTATAAGTGTGCTAAGGGTCACGAATGGATAGTCGCCTTCACAGGATTAAATATGCTAGAAAATGGCGCCAAATTGTTCAAAAACAAACCTTATACCCTAAATGATGCTAAACGGATTGCATATTATAATTACTTTCAGAAAATTATATTAATAGCATATTACTATTGCGGTGGAACTGTGTTATAAATCATGAATGGACTGCTTCATTTAGGAACATAAAACACAGTAAGTCGTGGTGTCCAGATTGTATACATTGTAGACTTTACTCTTGACAAAGCCAAGAAAATTGCATATAGTAAAAATGAGGAGTGTCTTTCTGAAATATTTGTCACCTTTGTTATGAAAATGTGCTAAAGGACATGAATGGAGTGTTAGTCTTAAAAGCATAAAACATGTAATTATTGTTGTACATATTGTGCAGACACAAAACGTCTTACCCTCGAAGAAGCTTAACAAGTTGCATATAGCGGGAATAATGTATGTCTTTCTGAGATATTTTTTAATATTCGGTCACCTTTATTATGGAAATGTGCTAAAGGACATTATGTTATTCAACGCTTAAAAATAGTAAAAATAATAACGCCCGGTGTCCATTTTGTCAAGTTAATAAACGTGAAAAACTTTGTCGTGAAATTGTAACAAATATATTGACCTCTACCAGAAATTGCAGACTGATTTCTTAAGAACACTAAAGCATCAAAATGGATTGGAACTGGATATTCCCTGCTACCATCATGGTTTGCTATCGAAATGCAAGGAGAACAGCATGAAAAATATCACGAATTCTTTCATAAAGGAGATCCTAATAAATTTGTCCGACAACAAAAGCAGGATCAATTCAAGAAAGAATTACGTGAAGAGATTCAGATTGCCCAAGGTATGTTTGGTACGCTGTCATTCCGGAACATCTTCGAGAATTACGCCTTATTGAGTAACTTTTAAATGCTTTATAATCATTATAGATTATTTCGGAATTTAAGCGATAAAAAATCTCATGCGTTATTTTTAGTAACACTAATTACATTAATAATATTTTTTATATTCTGATGTACACCACACGTAAAAAAAAATTAAGGAATAATGCTTGAAATATAAGCAAACTTTATTATAAGTACAGTAGCATAATTTGAAATAATTGATGATGCAACCGCAACATATAATCACCAATTGTATCATCTATTTTAAGTTTTCAGGCCTTTGCAATTTTGAGTTTTTGGATAATTATTAATGATGTTGCTAGTTCATCTCGAAAAAAAATGTGGTAAATTTCGAAAGCGTATCATCAGAACCGACTTATGCTAAAAATAAAAAGGGTCAATCTTACCTTCTGTCTGAAATCCAAATACCTTGAGCTTTTTGGTCAGCTCAAATTCGCATTCCTTAAAGTAATCGAGGAGATTATTGAGCGCGTCCACCATGTATTCATCGAGTTTAATTTTGTCATCTCCTGTGTGTCTAACTGGAAGCCGGGTCGGTGCTCCAGATAATTCAAAAATAAGAAGTTCATTGTCGTCTTTGCTAACGAAGGACGCAATACTACCAACCTTTGATCCAATTCTACGTCTTTTACCCTCTGCTAGTTTGAAATCTCATCAGGTAGCCGAAGACGTATTCGAAATTTCACCCCTATAATATTTTTTGTCAAACAGGAACAAGAATAAAACAGTAAATTGCACACAAAAAGGGTAGCTTACCATGTTATATCCATCAAATCTTTGAATATGAAAACAAACGGTTTGATAATAGGTTCTATAAACCTTGCACGGAATGTTGACTCGTTAGCTGGTCGTTGAGAAAAATATTCTGACCGTGTTTCATGACAAAAAATGTTATGATTTCAATGATATTAGTTAAGGGTAAGCTTGTCCATCTTATAATATCATCATACCAACAACAATTACAAGTATCGAAGACTCTACGAGTATATTCATCCACTTCCGTAAAATGGAATGGCTCCTCGGTAAGATTTACTGTAAATGAATCACGTATTTTTTTAAATATCAGAATTTTTCAAATAAAAGTCAAGTTGCTCTTCCACGGAACGAGGAAATTCTGTTAATATTTGCGTGATGAAAGTTATTACAGTGCATTCGTCATCAGAGCAAAATAGAGGTTTTATATGGTTTGCAACATTATCCAAATCAATAATGTATGCATAATATTGCTATATGCAAAGGAAGTTCGGAACAAGCTGAATTTGATGGGTAAATTGGAAGCAATATTAAAGCGCAAGAAACCATTAATACTCCTCGAGATCCTCATGTGAATTGAACTAGAAACAGTCTTATCGCTATCAACGGGCTCATAAGTTAAATTACTATTTCTGTTCCAAATATATAAAGCATTTTAACACGCATATACAATAATATACAATAGATTCTAAATATTCTACTAATTCTGTAAATATTTCAAAGTGCATGGTAAACAGTTCTTCGTCGAGCCTGGCTTTATTTTGGAGGTTGCCAATATTCTTCCAAAAATTAACAACAGCCTGAGATTTTAGTTCTTTCTTCGAAACAAAAAAAAGGCATGCACAAATAAAAACTCTATAAACAAATAGAAAACGAAACGCATATCTCAAAAGATAAAGCAAGGAATTGCAGTCGACTGCGATACCAAAGCAGAGGATGATCTGAAAGAAGATAGAATCCCATTGAAAGATGGAGATGAAAAGCAGAGGATGGGTACAGAGAAAGCATACCAACTTCTGCTAATTCCGTATAAATAAAATACATAACTTTGTAATTTTGATATTATTATCTGCCAACTTTTGAATCAGCGAGGAAGGATGTTTTCAATCCAATTTCTGTGAGTCTTTTGTTTTTCGTCGACTAAAAAGGTTCTGTGCTTTAAACTACATAAGTATTCGAGAAGGAGGTTGGACACATTAGGCTTCTCCAATATTTTTTATAAATGGTTTCCAAGCGACTGATTTCTCTTTAAATTTTTCTCCGCAGAACGAGTCTTGCGTTTAGAACCTGACATGCATGAAAAAAAAATATATGTTTCACGTGGTACAAACATTTTATGCTATGACTATTGCAAAAAGATTAATCCGATTTGGAAAAACGAAGATTTTGACAGCAGCGATTGTCTATCGCATGTACTCTTACTACAAACAGATGATTACTCCAACATGCAAATAAAATTTTTTTCCTGAGATACAGTATACTTAAGGATCTAAAAAAGGATATCAGGTCAAAGGGAAAGAAAATTATCTAAAGATATTAAGTCGATCCTTCAGAATACATTGAGGTAAGGTATTTTCCGACAACTTGATACAGCTTAACAAAATCATATTAACCAACTTATTCAAGAATGAGATACCTTCCAAATCCAGATAATCCAATAATAACAAAACCTTTAATCATTGAATCAGCAAAATATCATTTTTCAAAGACAAAAGTGGAGAAGTTAAATGCTATCTATATCAAAACTCAAAAAGACAGGTGTATTAGTTTATTGTTACATCAACAATTTATTTCTTAATCTGTAGGCCAATTGTTGGCAAATATAAAATTTTAGGCAAATACAGTTTAAGGGATATTATAGCTTTTGAATAAGCAATCAAACCAGGAATTGGAAAGGCATTTATAACAATGTTAAGCAGACAAATAATTATTAGAATATAATCAACACTGACTTTTTGATAGATATTAAATAAATTCAAGAATCACAAGGCAAGTATTGTAATATCAAGTGGAAGATAGAAAACCAATTCACAGCAATTAATTTTGAATTTGAATCAGCAAATTTTTGTGACTCAGAATAATTTAATTATAAATAAATAAACAAACATGATAACAATCTTAGCATCAATATTTTCAAATAGTTATAATAAAAATATTACCATAAACCACTATATACAATACCTCAGGTATTAATCATCCCATCAGAAAAAGTACTTTTAAAAAAAGAAAAGTACTATAAAAAAATCAAAAAGGATATTATTCAAGAAGAGGGTATTGTATATAGTGGTTTATGGTAATGGTTTTATTAATAAATTATCAGTATATTTAGTTAATATAGATGTAAATTTAGCAAGTAGAGCTTGGAATATGGTATTTGGTATTTTTTAAAGATGTTTATCTGAATTAGCACTAGGTTGATTTAATTAAAAAATTCTTAATAAGTAATGAAAATTTTATAATATTTTTACAAATAATAAACAAGCCAATATACAGTAGCTAATTTATAAAAGCATATTATAGTATAATAAATACTTCTAATAGTTTTAAAAATAACTTTATTTTCCATATTTATACTAATGTTTTTGCTAATAATGTTGCAACAGTAAAGAATTCAATAATTTTAGAAAAAACTTTTATAAAATTTGATATTTAACTAAGAAGAATTTATTTGACAAATCTGTCAATACAATAAATATTATTGTTATTAATTTTATTATATTTGATAATATATAAATTAGATAGATATTAAGAATAAATATTCTAGTACTTAATAAAAAATTCAATCTAATATTGAATTATTTATTAGCTTAAAAAAATAATAATTTAAAAATATTTTATTTAAAACTTAAGAAATATAAAAAAATATTAAATTAAAATAAAAAACAAATTAAACATTAGTTTTTATATAACATATTTTTTGATTTAGAGAATAATGCAAATACAGTATGGTGCAAAAAAATTTGAAATATTATTTATATAATATAAACATGCATAACCTTTTCAAAATAAAAGCAATTTATATGAAATTTTAAATATGTAAACAACATATTCCAAACAATATATATAGGTACTTAAAATTATTTGATCATTTTATT